TTTAATTAAATATCAAAGTTATAATACAAAATAATGCTATATATTTATTTACCAAGTATTTTATTAATAGCATGAAAAAATTAAAAATTTAAAAAAATCATATTAATAAAGTCAGTCATATTAACTACTTGAGGGATTTGTTAACAAAGAGAATATTCAAATCACACGACAAATTGAAGTGAGAACTACATAGCAATGTCCTTGTTTGATAATCAGCAGTTAGTGTTAGCGGATTTGACCAGCGAATTATATCAACGGTTGGAAAAAAGATATTTAAAAAAAATAGCCATTTAGATTAACATGTAAAATGACTTAAGGGTATTCATATATTTCATAATAATAATAATAATAATAATAATAATAATAATAATAATAATAATAATAATAATAATAATAATTATTATTATTATTATTATTATTATTATTATAATAATTGTTATAAAAAATAAAAAAATATATAATTAAGCCAATCATATTAACTACTTAATTGAGAGATTTATTGACAAAAAAGAGTATTCAAATCACACAACAAATTGAAGAGGGAAACTATCTCGCAATGTCCTTGTTTGGCAACCAGCAGTTAGCTCTTCAATATTAGTGTATATTTAATATTTTATGCCCTAATTTTTATTTGCTCTCCATTATTTCCCGTATTTGGTTTCAACCATACCCATACAATTATTTTATTGACAATTATAATCAATCTTGACTATATTATCTTGCATTTGTAAACTTAAAATTACCTATTTAAATATGCATATTCAACATTCAATTATCTATGCATGAACAATTCCAATATAATCTTGCATTGATATATTTTATAGTACTTATTTAAAAAAAAAAAAACATTGGGCATTATCTCAATCGCGCAATGCGCATAAAAAAACTAGTAAATTAATAAATTTGATGGTAAGGAATCGTTGAATTGTAGAAATAAAGATAATATAGCTAATGAAATTATATTTTCTTTATTTTATTTTTTAAATAAATCATTATCGACATCCAATTCTAAATTAATTAAATGCATATGTATTTTTTTTTGTTTAAAAAAAATTTAAGAAAATCAAATGATTTTTAAAGTTCTGATTTATACTATTTGATGCTCAACTTTGAATGCTATGTATTTAGTCGGGCAAATTATTTGAACAATGTTTATGTTAGATTATATATATATATATATATATATATATATATATATATATATATATATATATATATATATATACTAGTTTTTTTACGCGCATTGCGAGATTGAGATAATGCCTAATGTTTTTTTTTTTTGTTTTTTTGTTTTTTTGTTTTTTTTTTAAATAAGTACTTTAAAGTATATTAAGGCAAGATTATATTGAAATTGTTCATGCATAGATAATTGAAGGTTAAATTTGCGTATTTAAATAGGTAATTCTTCTCCCAAAGTTTGAGTCCCCAACTCCAAGGGCCCCCCCACACTCCGACCCGACACAGCATTGTGGGAAGTTGTATATCACGGTGACTCAATGGTTCAGCAGACAGGGCCAAATGCTGGTACGCACAAGGAATCTCCCCACTTTGGACATAATTCTCGCATTGCCGGCGCCGAGGTTCAAACCTTGGTCTCTTCTCCCAACCTCTACCCACTAAACCATTGGGCTAAGCCCGTGCGGGTTAAATAGGTAATTCTAAGTTTACAAATGCAAGATAATATAGTCAATATTGATTATAATTGTCAATAAAATAATTGTATAGGTATGGTTGAAACCAAATACGGGACATAAGGGAGAACAAATAAAAATTAGGGCATAAAATATGAAATATATACTAATATTGTTTGAGGAGATTCCTACATTAGGATTTGTGGTTAAGTTCTATTAAGACTTTAATATTAGAATTAGATTAATGGTGTAATTATAATTCAATATTAGACTTTAATATTAGAATTAGACTAACGGTGAATTAATGGAAAAGTTAAATGGATAATCATATAATTAAGGATAAATTAGAAAATCTTAAAAGAAAAAAATTAAAACCTGAACAATATGAACCATTCATTTGATTTAATAATTTGGCGGTCATTTTTTCTACCCAATGTTAATAATTAAATAAATTCGCTGGTCAAATCCGCTTGTATAATCCGCTAACGTTAACCGCTAACTGCTGATTGTCAAACAAGGATATTGCGAGGTAGTTCTCACTTCAATTTGTTGTGTGATTCGAATACTCTCTTTGTCACAAAATCTCTCAAGTAGTTAATATGGTTGGCTTTATTAATTATATTTTTTTTTAATTTTTTATGGTATTAATAAAATACTTGGTAAATAAATATATAACATTATTTTATGTTATAACTTTGATATTTAATTAGAAAAATAGTGCACAAAAAAGATAATTGATAATGTAGTGAATATAATCAATTGATGAATTTGAATGTAAAAATTTTTACATTTGAGAAAAATAAAGACAATATAACTAATGAAAATATTTCTTTTAATTAATTTATTGATAATTAATAATTTGTTTTTCACTGAATAAAGACAATGTAAGGACAATGTAGCGAATATAATCAATTAATAAATTTGAATATAAAGAATTTTTATATTGAAGAAAAATAAAGACAATATAACTAATAAAATTATTTATCTTATTTAATTTATTGATAATGAATATTTTTTTTTTGAATAAAGACATTGTGAACACATAATTCTAAATTAAAGAAATGCATATGTATTACTTTTTGTTGTAACTACTAAATTATTATTTATATTATATAATTTAATAAGAGTAAAATAGAGTACTAATTATGTCAACTTTGATTGGGATGAGGTTCGAACCTAAGACCTTTTTTTATTTTATTGAAATCAATGAGTAAGTTAATGGTGAACTAACGGCAAATCTTAAAATTTTAACGGAATTAGTAACGATGTGTGGGTATTTTAGGAAATTTTAGTGTAAAATTTAAATCTGATCAATCTTTTAATCAATCTGAGCCATTAATTTGATTAAAATCTGTGACCGCCATTTTTTCTACCCATTGTAGGCCTAACTCTCTTGGGCTCTTATTAGTATAGTAGATAGTAGATAGTATATATATATATATATATATATATATATATATATATATATATATATATATATATATATATATATATATATATATATATATATATATATATATATATATACATTTTAACATATTCATAATATATGTTTAACAATTATGCCAACTCTAATTGGGATAGGGTTCGAACTTAAGACCTTTCTTATATAAATTAATGATTATGTTAAGAATAATAAATAGTTAACGGAATATTCCATTACTAAAGTTTATACTAACAGAATTTATGATTATTTAAGGGAAGAAAATAATATAATAGAGGGTAAATAAGGAAAATCATTAAACAAATACTAAAATCAAAATAATATGAACAATTCATTTTAAGAAACAACTATACCGACATGTTTTTTCCAGTTAAGGGCCTAACATTATTGGCTCTTATTAGAATTGTAGATTATATTATTATTATTATTATTATTATTATTATTATTATTATTATTATTATTATTATTATTGTTATTGTTATTGTTATTGTTGTTATTGTTATTGTTATTGTTATTGTTATTGTTATTGTTATTGTTATTGTTATTATTATTATTATTATTATTATTATTATTATTATTATTATTATTATTATTATTATTATTATTACGTGTTTAGACGGGAAGTTGCAAAAGTATGATTTTTGTTTATATTATTAGTAGTATAGATAGATTACGTAGTAGGGAAGTATATGTATTTCATTATTACGATTAGTAATTTTAATCTAGAATTGTATTACGAATATGAAAGTACGAAAGAATATATTGTATTAGGAATTATATTATCATATTTTAATGTATAATTATAGTACAAATAGGAATTGTATTACCATATTTTACAAATAGGAATTATATTGGGCGAAAAAGTTGAAGTAGAGGATTTTACTTTTATTAATAGTATAGAAGTATATATATATATATATATATATATATATATATATATATATATATATATATATATATATATATATATATATATATATATATATATATATATATTGGTGTACGATCAGTATTCGAATTAATATTATTGGCGTAAATAAAAATTAATTAATCATTATTTCCTTATAATATAAATTTACGTTATTACGCGAAAATTTACAAAGAATATTACCAATTAATAAATATTAGTTAATTTCCATATAATATTTTGTAATAACGTAACTTTATTAATTCTTTTACTAATAAATCAATTAATTAATATTAAGAAAAGTTTTAGCGGGAAAGTTGAAGAGGAAGATTTTATTTTAATTAATAGTATAGATTGGTGTAAAATCAGTATTCGAATTATTAGTATTGGTGTAAATAAAAATTAATAAATCATTATTTCGTTATAAATTTACGTTATTAGGCAGAATTTCTAAAAAATATTACTAATTAATAGATATTAGTTAATTTCTTTGTAACATTTTGTTACCAATTAAACATTATTAATTATATTTTACGAATAAATTAATTAATTGTGTTCTTGTTTTGTTTTGTTTTGCGTGCCAAAGTTGCTGCTGTTTACATAATTTGCACTTAAGTAGTAATCTATAATTTGCATTGCATTCGCATTAAATGTGGCCGATCGTCTAGAACTGCATCCAAATCTCCATCTGTGATGACGTCGTGAGCGCAGAGATAGTATGCTAATTATTGCAATGTTACAAGATTGCCACAGATGGATTCGCAAATGTAAAAATTACAAGTATATATAAAGAGAGAGTCTCTAGGATAGTGAATCATAATCTAACTCAAATACATAGTCCTAATAATTAATGTTAAGAAAACTTTGAGCGGGAAAGTTGAAGAGGAAAGTTTTACTTTTATTAATATTATATAAAAGTGTATAGATTAGAATAAGAATTTTAATGTAGAATTATAGTACGAATAGGAAAGTAGAAAACAATATATTCCATTAGATTATTATTATTGTTTTGGGCGGGAAGTACCCAATTTCTTCATTTATATAATAGAGAAAACAAATGCAACATATCTTACATAACTTAGATGTAAAAAACTAAAAACAAAAAAACAATTTCATACAAATTGAACATATTAAACCTTTAAACGTAAAAGGGTTTATACCAAAAAGAGATTTGATACAAGAAACTGGCAACAATATAATAAATTAAAAGTTAACTACCATTTACAAAATGTCAAACTTGAATCATCTAATTTAATTTAATCTTCTTGCGACTTGAAGAAAGCTCTCTTTGGATTAAGGGCATGTTGTGTTTTCTAGATCATATCGAGCTGAGAGCACATTTCACAATACTAATTAGAATGCATGAAAATTGCTTGCTTAAGAATTTATCAGCACAAAAACAAAATAATTATAACAATCCAAAATTTTAAAATCTCCGTCAAACAAAAAGAAAAACGTGAGAATATAAATTTTACCTGATTGAAAAGCCAAGCTCCAAATTGCTCTTCATCAATCTTCTGTTTCATTCTTGGTGATGGAGTGCTGAGTTTTGACCTATATTTATAGGTGATTTAGGAGTGTTTGAGTACAATATGGAGATTTAGGAGTGTTTGAGTACAATATGGAGTTGGGATATTGAGTTTGATTTTAACTGGGTTTATCAGTGTTGTATGGAATTAGGCTTTATAATATTAGAATAGGAATTTTAATATAGAATTATAGTACGAATAGGAAAGTATGAAACAATATATTCTATTATAAATTGTATTACACTATTTTACAATATTAGAATAAGAATTTTAACGTAGAATTAATGTACAAATAGGAAAGTAGAAAACAAGAAAGAATATATTCTATTAAGAATTGTATTAAACTATTTTAAAATATTATATTAGAATAAGAATTTTAATGTATAATTATAGTACGAATAGGAATGTAGAAAAATAATATATTAAAATTTGAGGATTTTGGGTGGGAAGTTAAAGTTTAGGATTTTGTTTTTATATATAGTATAGATTTATTACATAAAAAATTATTGCATAGTATTATAAAAGACTAAATAACAAAATTAAATAAAAAAAAGAAAAAATTCAAATAAAGGAAAAAACATTTGATTTGCATAAGCCAAAAAATTTCTGTTATTTAAAAAAAAACCATAAAATATAAAACAATTTTGAGTTGGCTGTCGAAGCAAAAAACACCCGCTCAGCAGGGGCATGTTACAACACACCATTTTTTTTTGGTATACCCAGGTTTCTACCGTCGAACACAATGACCAATCCCTTCGCTAAATTGTAGGCACATCTTTTGGGTGGGACAGCTAGCCTGAAGATTTAAGGCTGCTCCATTAGTGGGATCCTTAGGCGCCATAGCTACTTCCATGCAGTGAAGGGTGCATTAACCTGCAAGTTATTTTCGTCTAATAGCCGCTAGCCATTACTAACCGTATAGACTCCTCTTATATCACCTCGCCAGCATCACACGTCCGGTACTCGCTTGAGATCGGCAAGGCTCCAATTGTTATTTAAGAATGTAATTTTTTTAAAAAAATCTCTTCCGACTCCAGAAGAAGTTGCCTTCTTCCGTTGCCTTCAATTCATCTTTTCCGGAATTGTTACCTTCGTCCAGAATAGAAGAAGGCAACGATTCTTCCGTTTCGAAAAGAGGCCACGTTTGTCGTTGCCTTCTTCTAGTCCGGAAGAAGGTAACGGCAATGGTTGCCTTCTTCCACCGGAAGAGTGCAATGGCAAACATTGCCTCTTCTGTTCCAGAAGAAGACAACGACACATGTGGAGGCTTTTATTCATGCAGTAAAGTAATGAATGAAATGGCCTCCATGGCTCTCCGGTTGATAAATGGTTGATGCAGTAAAGTAAATCGTTGCATGTGGAGGCTTCAACCGGATGACTATACTTTTGCTGATAGCCCGTTTCTTTCGTTTCCACCGTCGTTTCTCGACTTGTTCTTTCCTGCTAAATGAAACGCAAGACCGGTCCAGGTCTCCACCTGCGCGAGAAATTTATGCATTATTAAAAAAAGATACTTTTCTATCTTGCCGATTGCCCCGCTTCTTCTGGTTCCAAATATCTTCCGCTACCTGTTCTTTCTTGCCAAATGAAACGCAAGCGATTGCGTGCTTGCAAGATATGGGTGTTGCCACCCATAACGTTAAAACGCAGCCAGCGGCGGAAGAACTCACCACCTCGCACATCACTGAACACAACTGGAGGCTATTGAACATCATCCACTGTCACCAAAAGCCACCTGCAACGTAACTTCGATCCCTACCCAGATTTTCTTCCATATTTCTCACACTTAAAAAACGTCAATCTGCAATAATAATAATAATAATAATAATAATAATAATAATAATAATAATAATAATAATAATAATAATAATAATACTCCGTAATAACCATAATAAGAAGAAGAATAAGAGGCGCTCTCATTCTCGGCGGAATCCACCGGGGAGAACCACAAATCACGGGAGAACTCGGACGGAAACAACGGATTCGAGCGGCGCACAAACTTGGCAACGGTGCTCTCGAAGTAATAAGGATCCATTAGCATGTCATTGTCGGTGAGAAACTCGGGCGGCACGTTTTCTGGCCATTGCAGATTAAATTTGAAATAGAGACGCATGTATGTATGTATGTATGTCTAGGGAGTGGGTGGTTTTGATTGTCTAAGTTCATTTTCCCAATTGATGAACCTACCAAGGGAAAATTGAAATTTGGCAGATACATAAATGTGAATTGGATGCCCGTGACAAGGAGTGCTGCCTTATTCCGGAAGAAGGCAGTGAACTGCTGGCTGCCTTCTTCCGATCTATGTACTCTGAGATTTAATAAATAGGCGGTGAACTGCTGCAGCTGCGGTCAATTGGAAGACTGTAACACCCCAGATTTTCAAGACATTTTAAGCTTATATAATAAAGGTAATATCTCATTACATCCCAAAGTATATCATAAGTGTACGGGGTGCTATGCCACACCTGGGCTAGAGAACCCAGGTGCACAGGCTGTCTAACTAATATCCATTGAAACACGAAGCATAATATGGCACGCAGGCCGAAAGGGAAACTACTCTACTTCTACGCTCCAGTTCTAGCGCGCTCCAGTGCTCTAGTCCTCTGTGCCTGAAAGCCAAATATATCTGTTCAGCGAGAGATGCTGGTAACCCACTCCAACGCGTTGAAATACAATACATATAGAGATATATATAGATATACGAAAACCATTTTGAGCAAGAAGATATATCCTACGAACTCTAGCTTTAAAACTGGGAATGACTCGACAGATAAGGCCAGACACAAGCAACAGTTATAACGAGCATATGCAATTCACAACAGATAAGGTAGATAAGGCAAGGCATAAACAATAGTCACAACCCAACATAAACAATCCCCAACATAAATCCCATAGTCACATCCCCCAAGGCACTCATGATCACCACTCATCCATATCACAACACATAGCACACTTTGTTGGCGCCACAGGACCAATCGCATGCCCATACATGAGGGTCAGCGCATATAGCTCTGACACGGCCCCGCAGCACCTTGCCCCGTATCGCAACACAGAGGGGTCGATCGCAACCGACCGATGAACCGCAGCTCATCATAGTGTTTGATCGCAACCAAACAGTGGACCGCAGCCCAAGAGAATGTCATCTGACCGCAGCCAGGAAAGAAGACGAACCGCAGCTCGTATAGAAACGTTTGATCGCAACCAAACGGTGGACCGCAGCCCAAGAGTATCAATCTGACCGCAGCTCAGGATAACCAATCCGATCGCAACCGGATTGGGGTAACACACACATAACACATAGCAAGCACATGCAACCCACATTACACATTAGGAAGGGGGAGAAAACGTATAACAAAACCTATGCGTGATCCATCACTTACTAAGAATAGTCCTAAGGGGTTCATACTTCTTCCACCTAGGTCAACGGGATACCAATTCAACTAGCATGCAATATAATAGACTCATAAACCTACGAACGGTACCCGAAATATCAAACTAGACATAGGCACGATAAACGGAGTCCGTTGGGACACCACGGGGAACGGGGAACATCAAACGGGGAAGCCGGGATCCCGGGTTGGGGGAATTTCCAGCGGGTAGCCGGTGGGTGGGGGCCACCCGCCGGTTGCCCGCCGGACTCACTGTTCCGGGCAGCGAGTCGCCGGCGGGCAACTGCCCGCCCGCCGGCCACCCGCTGCCAGGCGGTAATTCTCGGCACCGGGTAGGTGGCGGGTCCCCTACCCCCCACCTACCCCCCACTGACTCTTTTTCATCAATTGCGCCCCGGGAACCGTTGTGGAACCCGAAACCATGCTTAGACACTTTATAACGCAATTAACGACAACACGTAGACAATTAACGAATCGAATACAAGAAACGAACGGCACATAACCTATCATGCTTTTCTAGATATAATCAACACCCAAACATGCGATTTCCCCACCCGATAATCCAAGAATAAGATCATACGATACAACCTAGGGTTCTAATCACTTTTATATCAACAAGAATACGGTTCGTCTTCTAATTGCAAGATTTGGTAAGAATAACACATAAACATTAAGAGCATCACACAATTATCAAGAACGACACATAATCATCAAGAAATCTATATAATCATCAAGAATTCCATAATCATCACGAATCTCCCAATATTAAGATTATCAAGATTCCTCATGGAATCATCATATCAATCATTAATAATAATCATCACCAATCATTAATACACAATAATATGGGGAAACCCTAAGGGGGAATCATAACTATGAAAATAGGTTTTGTTGAGACATGGGTTACCTCTTAGCCTTAATTAATTCCTTGGCTATGAAGGATCTTTCTTTAAGCTTCCTTGCTTTCTTGATTTCTCCTAAGGGGATTCTTGGAGCTCTTTTGGGGTGGTGGGGCGTTATTTTTGTGGGAAGTTCTAGGTGTCTCCTAAGTCCCCTATTTATATATTTAGGAGTCCTAATTAGGAACTAATATTATAGGCTCGCTAATTCTATTCCTTTTGGAACTAAGGATTGGGTTTAGGGGTTGGGTTTATATATGAAGGCCCATGGACTATGGTGGACCTTTTTCCCTAATTAATCATTATGATTTATTCTTTCTCTTGGGCTATTGATTAATTAATTAAATGGTTTTAGGGGCCGTAACACGGGGTGTTACAAAGACTCTGATAAGATTAAACATATTAATTTGCAATTGTTAATATGTTAACCGATGGCCATGCATGCGGCTCTAACAAAATTATGAAAATCAATTTTCAAAAATAAAATAATTGAACAAAATTAAAATCCAAACTGATCATCCCATCTTTCCGGCGGCGAATTTATACAAACCGGCCTTTTTTGCAATCCTCTCGTTTCCGGATCTTCATGGGTCTTGTTATACCGGTTGACAATGAGCCAGCAAAAGCGGAAGCCGACGTCGACGACGGCAATTTACATGAGTTTTCTTGTAACAATGAACTTCCACGATCAGCCTATTTCAGCCAAAGCAAAAATGAAATCAGATAATTTGAAGTTTAGAAAAATCATTTTAAGTAATTCTATTCAATGTGTGGCTATTTTTTTTTATCTTTAGTGCAGATAACAAGAAAGAAAATAAGGAAGATTTCGTAAATAAGTTGGATTGGTTTCATGTGATCGTTTCAGGAAAACTTCTCATGAGGAACTAACAATCCAAAGAAAAATAAAGAAGAGAGAGGGGGTAAGCGATGGAGAATGTTCACCGGGAGGAAATTTCGTCGCTGCTTCGCTGAACAAATGCAAATCATCACTCTGGTCTGTTCACAATCCTTCCGGAATGTGCATATTCAAAATGCAGTAGATTTGCTTTCGCTCCGATCTATTCCTTCCTAACTATTGGGATTGAGCTTCCCTCCTATGTGGTAAATAGCTCATTTTGGACCAAGCCAATTTATATTCACTATAATATTTGTTATCTTCCTGGGAAAGTTTTGTCTAACAATTATTTAATTGTCATGGGAGAATGTGAAGTGGGTGGAAGTTGGAGCAAATGTTTTTGGGCTGAAGTTGAAGGGAAAGTTGATGGGATGAAGTTGAAACTAATTTCCCCTCCTATTTTCCCATGTCGGCAATAACATCTATAAAAGGGGATGGGCTCATTGTTTTCTAAAGTGAGAGAAACAACCATATTATTCTACACACTTCTTAGGCAGTAATTAAGAAAGAAGAAAAATAAATTTTGTCTTCTTCTTTCTTCATTTCGGCAGAAGCATCAAGAAAGAAAAGAAAATTCAATTTTCATCATCTTCTTTCTTCATGGCGTACGCATCAACAGCGGAAGGAGCACTATTAATTTATTCTTCATCTGTGGCGTTTCTTTGTCGTGGGTTTGCCGATCTCTTGGGTATTATCTTCATTAAATATTTTGAGGTCAACTTGTATTTATTCCAGGCATCTTTTGGGTAATCTCGTAATATTTGTATTCTGTTCACCTTGCTCATGGTGGTTGAATATTTTGAGTACGAGATATTATTCCTTTTAGCATGTGAATTAGAATATATGTATTTGGCATAGTGTTGGTGTATTTGATGATTTTGGATGTTTGGCTCGTGTGGTAGCCAGAAGCTTTGTACCCAAGATTTATTATAGTGGAATACTTTGTTGGTGGTGGTCCCGTGGTTTTTCCCTGATTTGGGGTTTTTTCACGTAAATCTTGTGTCCCTTGTATCTGTTATTTATTTTGGCTATTTTCCACCATCTCGTATTTGTGCTCTTGTCGGTCCTGTGATTTTATTTGGTCACAGGTAGTGGGATTTTTCCCAACAAAGTGGTATCAGAGCTCTGGTTGTTGATCGGGTATATTTGACATGGAGGTAAATACGATTAATATGGTGCGATTGAATGGTAGAAATTATCACATCTGGAAGACCAAGATGAAGGATCTCCTGTTTGTGAAGAAATTACATCTACCTGTGTTTGCAACTGCAAGGCCAGAAAATATGTCAGATGAGGAATGGGACTTTGAGCACCAACAAGTTTGTGGTTATATTCGACAATGGGTCGAAGACAATGTTCTGAATCACATTGTCAATGAGACACATGCCAGGACCCTATGTGATAAACTTGAGACCCTGTATGCTTCCAAGACAGGCAACAACAAGCTGTTCTTTCTAAAGCAGCTGATGAATCTAAGATACAGGGAATGTACATTGATTAATGATCATGTCAATGATTTTCAGGGTGTCCTTGATCAGTTGTCTAGCATGGGCATCAAATTTGATGATGAGGTACTTGGTCTCTGGTTGCTTAATACTCTACCTGATTCTTGGGAAACATTTCGGGTTTCTTTGACCAACTCTGCTCCCAACGGTGTTGTGACCATGGAGAATGTCAAGAGTGGTATCTTGAATGAAGAATCAAGAAGAAGATCTCAAGACACCTTCACTTCTCAGTCAGATATTTTGGTTACAGACGATAGGGGGAGAAGCAAGCAAAGGGGTCAGAAGGGTAGATATAAAAGCAGAAACAAGTCAAGGTCAAGGCACAAAGATAAAGAATGTTATCATTGTGGCAAAAATGGTCACATCAAGAAAAATTGCTTCAAGTTGAAAAGGGACCTGAAGCAAGACAAGAAAGATGATCACACAGAGAACCAGGTTGCAACGGTTAGAGCAGATTTACTTCTTGCTTGTGATGAGAACTCCATCAACGTTGCATGCCATGAGACAACTTGGATTGTGGATTCAGGCGCATCTTACCATGTTACACCACGGAAGGAATTCTGTTAGTGTTTTAATTGCTCAAAAAACCCCAACATATAATTGTCAATATTATTATGGCAAACTAAGATAGGGTTAGCTTGGGTCTGTTTGTTCTACAGAAGACTGATTGATCAGATTCAACAACAGAATGACTGACACTGAAGATCTGTTTTATGAAGATGTTTCGTCATTGCAGAACGCGGTTTTAAAAGTATGTTTTGGAAAGAAGATCAGCGTATCTACTTTGGAAAGGTATGGACCGGATCTTTAAAATTACATTCTTCTTATATCGTCCTACCATCTACAATCAGAGATATCTATGGAGAGTGTTCTTATATTGGAACTATAAGTACTCTTATTCGACCGAGAATTAGGGTTACGCTTTTGAGAAGAAAGAAACACTCAGACATATACTAAGAGATAACATCTGTGATTATCATGACTCTTCTCAAGACAATTTGTTCTTGTTGATTATGATGAAGAACTTGAGAAGAAATATCGTTGCTTAAACGAAAAGGACGCTAAGATCACACAGTTGTGGGAACAACGTCGGACTACGTCAGTGAAGTGGACTGCATCAGAGTTAGCTCTCCAAGTGAAGGGATTTCATTGGACTTCTGTATGCACGGCTCTCCACCTTCAACAATCCACTAAGTCAGTGTAGACTGGGTACTTACCTTGTGTGGGGCACTTGGGTGAGATTACTATTCTCTACCTTTGTACATTTGATGAACTGTTAGTGGGTTGGACGCCTATGTGATCGTCCCCCAGATGTAGATACACAGATGTTGTTCATTTCGCTGTCTTCCTTAGTTTTATCTTTCTGCAAGTTAATTAGTGTTTCAGCTATCTGACTGATATCATCGCTGAATCCGTCAGTCTAATCTGTCAGTCTTTTAATTAATATCATTAATTTGAGAGATTGCAAAATTACATGTGGTATCAGGGCTTTTAAGTCTACATAGTGACTTGATCCGTAAAGGAAGTTGTTTTTGCATTGCTCTCTTTGTTTTGGAAATATCTCTGGTTGTCGGTTGGCAGTCTGCCTGCTTGTGTGTTTTTGGCTGGTTGTTTTTATTCAGGATGGATGCAAGTATGAAACCACCAGAATTGGATGGTCACAACTATTCATTCTGGAAGGCTCGTATGGAGATCTATCTCCAGGCACAAGGTACCAGGGTTTATCGTACTGTTCTTTCTGGGTGGAGCCATCCAACTATTCAGAACCCTGATGGAACCACTACGGCAAAACCTATGGAGACGTGGACAGAAAATGAGATGGCGACCTCTGGCCTGAACAACAAAGCACTGAACTCTATTGTAGGATTGTTGCATGAATCTGTGTTTACCTTAGTCACTGGAGTAAAGGAAACAAAACGAGTATGGGAAATTCTTGAAACCAGGTATGAGGGTACAAGTGATGTGAAGCAATCAAAGCTTCAAATGGTTCTATCTGAGTTTGAAGCACTTAGAATGAACGAAGAGGAAACAATCTCAGTCTTTCACAGTCGTGTTCAGAATCTAATGAACAGAGCCTCAATACTCGGCGAACCATTCACTGATGAAAGAGTAGTCAAAAAGATCCTTCGATCTTTGCCAAAGCGATTCCGAATGAAAGTAACCGCAATTCAAGAACACACAAGCTGGGAAAAGAAGAGTGTGAGTGAGCTTATGGGAAGCTTACACACATATGAACTTGAAGTGCTGGCTGATGATGACCTTGCTGCCAACAGAAAAGGCAAATCAGTGGCTTTTGTTGCTGATGCTGATCGAGAATCAGACACTGATGACATAGATGATGAAGCCTTGACTCTTTTGACCAAGAACTTTAAGAAGATCTTGAAAGGATTTAATAGAAGGAGTAAAGGACAATCTAACAAGACTCAACATAAAGGCAATAATTCCTCATATCAGAAAACAGACACACCGTCTTTCACACAGAACAATCTGGCTCAAAATGGTCGACCAAGACAACCCCGAAGCAGTTCGACTGACACAGGCAGGTCCCTCAACCGGTCAGTACAGTGTCGAGAGTGTGAAGGATTTGGACACATACAGGCTGAATGTGCAACGTATCTCAAAAGGAAGAAAGCTATGTCTGTGGCTACTCTAAGTGATGATGAGGAAGAAGCATCTAATAGTCAGTCAGATGACAACATGGAAAACTTTGTGGCTTTTTTCTCAGCTACAGAAAACCAGTCTGAGGGAAAAGAATCTGATGAAGAGTCTTATATTTCGACAGATGACTTTGAAGAGAGGCATACCCAACTAGAGATGGAATTTGCTAAACTTGTTGCAAGCTGGGAGCAACTGGTGAAAGTTAATAAAAATCTGAATGAAGAGCTAAAACAACGAGATGATATTCTGAAGAAACTGAAAACAGAACTTGTTACAAAAGAAGATCTTATAACTCAGATAAGATCTCGAGAAGGAAAACTGATAAAAGAGTTGGAGGATCTGAAGAAAAACATAAAGATGATGGACACTACATCAACTCTAGACAAAATTCTGGACTCTGGACGAAATCCAAATGACAAAAAGGGTCTAGGTTATAACCGAAGAGAATCTTCGAAAAATATTCATGTGTTCGTCAAAGAAGGTACGTCAAATGACACATCAGCTCGCAGGTATGAAACAGGACAGTCATCCAGGTATGTCCAGATAAAGGAAAAAGGGAAGACACATGCAAAAACTGACTTTGGCAGAGTGGCGTCTCAATCTCAGTACTCAAAGTTCAAAGCTAAATTTGCTAAAATCAGACAATATATACCCATTTGTCACTACTGCAGATCAAAAGGTCACACTCGACCAAAGGAAGGAAAAATATCAGAACAAGACTATTACACCTTTCACAAGAGAAGTCTGGGTCAGGAAGTCAGAAGTAATATATTACCCCACTATAGGTCTGGCTGCATCTACAACTGAAGCAAGATGGTATTTCGACAGTGGGTGTTCCAGACATATGACAGGCAATGTCAAGTGTCTTATGGCTGTTCAATCGAGCAGTGGATCAGTTACATATGGAGACAGACAAAAAGGGAAAATAGTTGGCAAAGGTACTCTAAATGTTCAAGGCTTACCTCATCTAGAAGAAGTTTTGTTAGTCAGTGGTCTGAAGGCAAATCTTATTAGCATCAGTCAGTTGTGCGATCAAAACTGGAATGTGTGCTTCAATCGTAACTGTTGCAGAGTCAGGGATAAAGCAGATCAACTGGTAATGGAAGGAACACGATTTTCTGACAACTGTTATGTGCTGACTAATGAAAATACGTGTCACCTATCAAAATCAGATGAGTCAAAACTCTGGCATAGACGACTGTGTCACATAAACTACAGAGACATGGACAAAATGATCAAATTGGATGCTGTGAGAGGGATACCTAAGATCAAAATAGAACAAGAAGGGGTTTGTGGTGCATGTACCATAGGGAAACAAATAAGAACTCCTCACAAAGCAGTAAAAGTTATTACTACAGAGAGATGTCTAGAACTGGTTCATATACACCTTATGGGACCAACACAGACTGAAAGCATTGGTGGAAAGAAATACATATTTGTGTGTGTAGATGACTTCTCTCGGTTCAGCTGGGTATATTTCCTAAGAGAAAAATCTGAAGCCTTCAATGCCTTTAGAACCTTGTGCATAAGGTGTAACACCCCCTAAAAACAAGCTATATAAAAAGCCTTAACACATGCAGATAACATAACAAACAACTAGCACAGTGGAAGACTAAAAGATAACTGGATAAATATAAATCCAAGTCATGGGGTGTTATGCCACGTTCACCAACAAAGATGAACGCTACGGCAAATAATTGCATTGTTACACTATCCCAAAGTTCCACAAGTCTATACTAGATCGACACACAAGCCATAAAACCAACGGGGAAAGCTATGCTAACGGCACTAACAGCGCTCTCGCCTAGACATCACCTGAAAGAACACAAATAAACATGGGACGACGCCTGGTCAGCGAATAATGCTGGTAACCCACCAATACATATGAAATACCATACATAGATAGAAATAAGCTATAAAGCCATTTTCGAAACGGAATACATAAGTATATAAGTACAAAACCAAGAGCAATAGTCAACACAAGACTCAACACTCTCAACAACGACACTCGGGAACACATCCCAAGACCACAAGAACAACACAACTCACAAAAGAGTCAAGGCATGATCTATCATCACTCAATAGATCAAAACCCGACAAGCACAACGCAAAGGAATAAGACTCACACAACCGGCAACACATGCCAAGGCAACACATGCCTTTGTGACTACACACGTCACAAGAGAAGAACTCACCACAATGGCTACAATAGCCCTCGTGACATCACCCATCACGAGTTGATATGCCTGCCTTTTGCCCGGTTCCAACCTTATGGCTACCCCCAACCTTGTTTCTTCTTTCCAACCATTACCTCCAGCACCCCTGTACTTCTTAGTCCAACCTTTTCCCTCCTGGGACCGTCGTCCCCACCAACGACCACCAACGAGACCACCAATTTCATAGTACACAAGGTACGGTACACACACATGGCAACACATGCCACCCAAGAATCACGTGGACCCATCACTCAGGCCACAACTCCATAATCACGTCACGGCCACCACGAGGACCGCTGCAATACCTTGGTGACTAGTGTCCCATACCACTAATCGTGCAATCCAGGTAAAGTCACGCACACATCACACCTCAATCGGAATCAATCAACGGATTACAACGAAGGTATGAAACATACTCAGTCAAGGAATGGGTCACGGCCCAGCAACAACAACGATGAATAACACAAGTTATCATCAACCCATCGGAAGGTACAAACAACACACACGCTAGCATTTAGACACCGAACTAGCATGCTTATCAAACGGATAAACCAAAGGTAGTTCCGAGGAACACACAAGATACATCACGGTTCAACGAAACACAATGTTGAACACTTAACACGATTCAAGACACCAAAGTCCTACATGGATACCTACCACATAGTTCTAGACATACGAAACATCAAGAAGACACTCAAATAGTTCCACAAAAGAACACCGTGAAGTCCAAAGACCAAATACCGAGTCAAAAGAATCACGGGGAACAAATCTCCCAAATAACTCCACTTGTGTACCCGCGGGTGGACCCACGGGTAGTGCCCCACCCGTGGTTCCGCCCGCGGGAACACATTCCCACAAGGCCCGTACCCGAGGGTGGGGCGACGGGTGGTGCCCCGCCCGCCGTTCCGCCCGCGGGTACAATCCTGTACCACAACAACACACTTCGCAGATTTTCATCTCCAAACTCAAATTCAAGTCCAAAACATGCCAAATCTCACCAAATACAACAAAATGACTTGAATCAAAGGAAATGCCAAGCAATGGCACAAAAGAACCCTAAACACAAGCTCTAGATATGCATTTTCACAAGATCATGCATCAACACTCACATTTCATAGCAAAACACATGTAGAATCCAAGAAATCACATATAGGTAAGAAAAATAGATTTTGTAGAGCATGGGTTACCTCTTGTAGACTAAAAGAATTCACTTTACACATTAACAAGCTCTTCTCAAGGCTCACCTTCCAAACCCACTTCAAGAACAATCCAAAAGATCATAAAGATCCTACCTTTAAGAAAAGACACCTAAGATGAAACCAAAAACACAAGATGGACTTAGATCTTAGCCTCCTAGATGCCCAAATAGGTGAAAGGTTGAATCTTGGAAGCAACTCTTGAAGTCTTGGCAAGGTCTCAACTTGGCTTGGAAGAAAAGCTACTCACCTTTTTAGAGAGAAGGTAGAGCTAGATTTTTAGAAAGTGTAAGGGATAGAATGAAGATGTCTACTAGGTTAGGTTACAATACTAACACCATGTGTAAGGTCAAGAATGCCCTTACTAACATTAGGAAATGTAAGGAACAAGGGAACTCCCTTCAAAGCTCAAGGTACAACTTGACTTTGGAGTTGACTAGTCAAATACTAGTCCTCAAGTATTGAATTTCAGGATTTTAGGAATTAAATCCTCAATTGAAATATGATTAATTACTCAATTAATACATTAATTGAATTTGGATTTTGGGGTGTCACATCCTCTCCCCCTTCATAGAAGCTTCGTCCCCGAAGCTTGGGTACGATGAATTAAAAGCAAACGGTGATAGGAAACAACATTGTGACATGAGGCTCAAGAACGAATTCTTTTGGTCAAAACTCAAAAGATTTCACAAGAATTCCAAACAAGAAAGAAGGCATAACAAATCTAGAATTGGCAAGAGTTTAACAAAGGGTTGGATTGAGCATCACGAACTCTAGTCTTAACACCAACATCAACTTCTAGCCAAACACTAAGGACAAGACAACCAACACAAAACACCCGCTACTATTACTAAGCTAACTAAGCCACAAGCAACAAGCAAAAACAAGCACACAAAACAAGCAACAAACGATGAAAACGAGGTACCTGCTACGAACAACTCTGGATACCGCTCCCGCATGGTTGACTCCAGCTCCCAAGTAGCTTCCTCAACCCCATGATGTGTCCATCAAACTTTCACCATTTTTACGGACTTCCTACGTGTGTCACGGGTCTTGAAGTCCAAAATTCTAAGCGGCCTCTCCTCATAAGACAAATCTTCATCTAACGGTATTACTTCCGGTGGTAAAACATGAGCTGGGTCGTGAACATATCTCTTGAGCTGTGATACGTGGAACACGTTGTGCACTCTTTCTAATTCCATGGGCAACGCCAAACGGTAGGCCAAACTTCCAACCCTCTCCAGGATTTCATACGGACCTATAAACCTAGGGCTCAACTTCCCTTTTCTTCCAAACCGCATTACTCCCCGGGTGGGAGACACTTTCAACCAAACTTTATCCCCAACCGAGAATTCCACTTGTCTTCTAGCCAAATCGGCGTAGGACTTTTGACGATTTTGAGCCGCTTTCATCCTTTCTTGTATCTGTTTAATCTTCTCGGATGTGTCAAGAAAATATTGCGGTCCCAACACTATCGGATTGACAAGATCCTCCCAACATAGCGGACTGCGACACTTCTGACCATAGAGGGCTTCATAGGGAGCCATGCGTATGCTAGTATGATAGCTGTTGTTGTAAGAGAACTCGATCAAATCCAAATGGTCTTCTCATGACCCTTGAAAATCTAGCATACAGGCCCTCAACATATCCTCGGTAGTCTGTATGGTTCTCTCTGTTTGTCCATCGGTGGCCGGGTGGAAAGCAGTACTGAGGTTAAGTTTGGTTCCAAGAGCCGCTTGTAAGTACTTCCAAAATTGAGACAAAAACCTTGGATCCCTATCGGAGGCAATATCCCTCGGAACTCCATGATACTTTACCACTTGATTAACATAAGCTTGAGCCAACTGCGTCATTGTCCAAGTCTCCTTCATTGCGATAAGGCGAGCAGTCTTAGTCAAACGATCAACTATCACCCAGATTTTGTCCTTACCCGAACGGGTTGTCGGCAGTCCTCCCACAAAATCCATAGATATAGAGTCCCACTTTCCTTGTGTAATTTCCAAAGGCTGTACCAACCCCTTGACCTTACAACGCTCCGCTTTAACCTTTTGGCAATTGAGGCATTTCCCAACAAACTCTGCAACTTCCTTCTTCATGTTAGGCCACCAAAAGTAGCCCTTTACATCTTTGTATAGCTTGTCACCTCCGGGGTGGACCGAATATGGTGTGTTATGACCCTCTTCCAAAATCTGTCGCTTCAACTGATCACATCACGCGGGTACGCACAAACGGCCCTTATACCTCAACACTCCATCCGTAGACAACTCAAACGGTCCCCCTTTCCCTTTAGTTAGATCATCCCTTGCCTTCATCAAGTATGCATCCTTTTGTTGCTCTTCCTTAATTTCTCCCAGAAATGTAGGTACAATCCTTAAGTTGTAAAAACGGACTTCTGCCTCAACATCACCCTGTTCCACCACTTCCAAGTTCATCCGTTGGAACTCTTTGCAAAGTTCATCAGCTACTACCCAAATGGAATTAGCGCTGTGCTTCGATTTTCGGCTTAAGGCGTTGATGCGTAGTATATTTGCAAACAAATAATTCTCGGAGTACGAGTTATCGATCCACAGGGAAGTGGTTGTATCAAGCACTAGTTACTAACTTATTCATTAGAGCTAATCCTAACAATTACTTAGATGATTGATTGGCATAAAATAAATAAAATAAAACAGAGGTTTAGGATTTTGAAAACAATTAGAGAGAAGTTGAGATTCATGGGATTCAAGTATTTAATCACCTAGTGCCAATTATCGTTTGCAATATTTAGTTGGAATTAAGATTTGTGTGGGAATGCAAAGTGGAATCGAATTACTCCCGTAATCTCTATTCCTAGTGAATTTCCACTCCCGTGGCTTAAACACCCAATAAGATCGAAGATCGGCATTCAATTATTCCTAATTACTACCATCTCCCGATTGGCAACAATCTAGAATAAACTTCCCCTAATAAGTTCCCCTTTCCCAAGGTCCAACTATTAGGTGCAATTGTGTGTACCCTAATTTATGCCCCAACTCCCATTGGTGACACAAACATGGCTATGAAGCTAGTAACTATGGTCATTAATTACAAGCATCAAACAATATTATCACGATTGCAACACAAGTATTAAACCCAAATAATAATATATTAAAGAAACTGAGAGCTCAGGCACATAGGTTCATAAACACTTTTACCCAAGAATCTCTAAAGAATTTAGGCAAGCATGACTAAATTATACATAGCAAATATAAATAAAGAATTACAAATCATCAAAAGAGTACAAGAATTAACCAGACGATTTTCCCAAATCTCCCTAGTCTTCTTCTTGCTTTCCAAGACAACTTGTGGCTCTTGATTTCTCTCCTTCTTGTCTCCAAGAATCTCTGAATTCTGAATTCTGGACTATACAATTGTCTATTCTAATTATTTACTCTAAACTAAAACTCATTCTTCTTAGGGTTGAGGAAGGTGGGATTTTATAATAGGTACAAAGTTGGGATCAACCCTTGAGAAATTAGGAATATTCCTATTTAATAAATAAGAAATTGCCGTCTTTAACCATTTGATATTTCTGCCATCATATGATTAGGAAATTACTATCCTTTCTTTAGCTTTGGAGAATGCCACTTTAAATTAGGAAGTTTCTAAAATCGCGCCCAGTGCAATAAGTACGGTTTGCAAGCTTATTTTGACCATTTTCTATTATTATCTAGACTTTGATGTCTGCATAAGAGTTGTAGCCCTTCGAGTCTTCTTTCCAATGACACAAGAATCACCTCAATCGGACATTCCTAGCATGAGATATGATCAAAATACTAAGCTGTCGCCGAATTCAACGGGAATTACAACTCTTCGGTCTTTTGATTCACTTTTGACTCCAATTTTGTCCTAGGACTTCCCTTGCTCATAACTTTGACCTACAATGGTTCAAAAACACTAACAAACACCGTAAAACATTCAAAACAAGTGTGAACCATAATTAAATGATAATAGCAAGGAAAACATGTATTAAATAAGCAAAATTAATGAACTTAATTACAGAGATGATTCAAAATAACTATAAAAACAAGCACATATGTGATAACATCAGGCGTCCGCCACTACATTAGCTTTTCCTTCATGATACTGAATATCCAATTCATAGTCCTTGATGAGTTCCAACCACCTTCGTTGTTGCATGTTGAGATCCTTTTGGGTGAAGATATATTTGAGACTCTTGTGATCCGTGAAGATCTTGCAACGCACCCCATACAAGTAATGGCTCCAAATCTTCAAAGCAAACACCACGGCGGCCAATTCCAAATCATGCGTAGGGTAATTCTCTTCGTGAA